CTAAGAATAGCCTGTTCCCGAAACCCTGGTTCGGTGCCTGAGTTTCAGGGCCGGTCGTTCTGATGAACGACCGAAAATGGCCCTTCGTTTCAGGCTAAAAAGGCTGTTGCCATTTTCAGTCTGAAACGACACAGGGACTGTAGGCCCCTGTTTTCAGGCTTTCAGGCTGAACAGTCACGGGGCCTGTAGGCCCTGGTTTTCAGTCTTTAAGCCTGAATTTCAGGCTATCAGCCTGAGGGACGCAGGGCCTGGAAAATGGCCCTCGTGTGCACGCGCAGCATGTAACACCTGTCTGCTCTCCATTCGTTTGCCCTCTGCCTGTGCATCATCTCCCCACTCTGTCCCAGGCTCACCCTCCTCCAGACTGGGCTGCTGAGTGAGCTGGAAGTTCCCAGGGGTGAATGGCGGTATACTATTTCCGACCATCTCTTTCAGGTCACCGAGTGGCGCATCTGGCAGCCGAGTAAGCAGTTGAAGGCACAGACAGTCAGATGCTGACCTGGCAAGCAAACCTGGACAGGTAAGAAAAGCTTATGATGCCAAGATGCAGGCAAAATAAGCCAAAGGTACAGTCAAGGGGTAGAAGGACTTGAGAGTTTGCCTACAAAAGTGCAGGAGAGGAAGATTCCCTCAAAGAGTATTAGGGAATCTGGTTGGGATCCTTCTTCTGCTGTTGACGAGTGCGTTCTTCCCCATGAGCCCGATGATTCATCTGGCCTCACTGTCTGTGCTCTCCTAGGATGAGAGTCCTGTTGTTCGCGAGAATGTGTAATGATTGGGAAAATAAAGGAGGGAGTGGAATTGCAAGGAGACACAAAGGGGAGTGAATGTGTGTGATAACAGATGTCTGGTTGGTCCTCTATGTGGATAAGATATGTCTACCTCAGATCTCTTTTGTTGAACGGTGATTCTCTGACTCTGTGTGAGTGAACTTTATGCACATGCTCTTTGGGAGTCCTTAACTGTCTGTTATCGAAGCTGATGCTGAGTCATGAAAGATTACTGGTTTGACGCTTGGGTTCGAGATGCAAGAAGCCGGTGGATAAATTCTTAGTTCTCACACTCGCAGTCCAGGTCAACTGGAACTCGAGAGGCTGTAAGGAAGTACAAAGCAAAGCAGAAGTTGGAGAAATCTAAGCTGGGACAGGAAGTGTACCAGCTTAAAGAGGCAACAGCTCAGTTGAGGTTGGCAATCTTCATCTGTCAAAAAGAGTCCACAAGATGGTTGGTTACCGATACTCCCGCTACCCTGCCTGTGTCATTTTTCCATCTTGTACAAACCCACAACAGAAACACCCCCCTGTGTCCAACCATTCTTATTGTGAAGATTAACCCGAAGCTTCACAACACTCGGTTGGATCCTGCCTTGTGTTCGGGCTGTCTTTTTTTCCTTTCCTTTCTTTTTTTCCGGACCATTTCTCGACTTATGTGTATCACCCTTGCGCAGGGGCCATGCTAATCTTCTCTGTGCTATTCCAGTTTCGATGGATGTCACAAAGTACGGGGCTGTCTTTCTGAAGTTTCTTGGACTGTCTTCTTTCTCTGCTGTTTGACTTTTCCATTGCCCTATCCCTCCCTGACTGCCTGACTGTCCTGGACTGCATAGATGCGATGCATGCTGTGACTGCTGTCATCTATGCTGGTCCTGGAAACTGTGCAGACGAATAATGTCTGCGCAAGGAACCAAGCAATGCGCATCCAATTTTTTTTGTTGTAGAGAAAGGCTCAGAGTTCCATGGGACATGACTGGTGAAAGCCAAGGTGGCTACGATACAAGGAATGGCCATCACGTGGGAAGACTGGCACAACTTGAGCCCATCCACGCCAAAACAAGACAGCCAACATCCTGAGTCCCAGGATCCCATTTGGACATAAGATATGGGGTGTAGCAATCTGGTAGAGTCTGTAGAGACCACAATCTGGAGCCAACTCATGGAGACAGCCGAACTCGCTCTATTTCAGCAGACCTTGGGAAAGTTTCTGAGAGGAGTGACAATGGAACGGCAAGCTAACAGTCAATCCTCCAATGAAGTAGTAATCAATGCTATTCAGGGGTCCTTAGGGCAAACGGAAGGAAGCGTGAGGGTGTAAATGTTATAATGATAAGACTTGCCGATGGAAAAGGAACCAGACTGATGCTCCCCAAAATGGAAATGCAGCCAGGGCCATAAGGACGTATTTTTATTGAAAAGAAAACAAAAAAGAGAAAGACACAGTACAGCATGCATATGAGAGCAAAGTCAAAAGTAGATTATGAGCTGAAATCACATCAAATGAGAACACAATTATGCCATAGTTTCTTCATACAAAAAGCCCAACAAATCGCCTCCAGATATCAAAACAACAAAAACTATATAGCCGTTCTCTTCAGTCTAACCGCGTATACTCGTTCCCGTCTTACTCTGCCTGTTTCTCTCTCTCTCTCTCTCTCTCTCTCTCTCTCTCTCCTGTCTCTTATACACATCTAGATGTGTATAAGAGACCCCCCCTGTCTTCTCCCCCCCCCCCCCCATCTTGACCGCGGCCCGCCGTCACAGCCTTTGGTCGACATGGCCACGACAGTGACCTTCCAACGCCGCTTCACCTCAGTCGTAGCGGCCAAACCACAAAATGCAGGCAGCTGGAATCCCCACATCAAAGGAGGGAAAATCACAAAGAAGATCCAGCAAAATGGGGAAGAGAAAGAAGTTACCGTATGGTGCTACCCAAAGGAAAAATCCCCTCAACCAACGCATTGTATACCAAACATGGCCTGGTGTTCACCTTCTCCAACACAGGCGCCTGCCTCCCAGCAATTGAGAAGAGGAAATGGCTCACAAAGACAATCCAGGGTCATGAAAACATCAAGACCAGATCAAACAAATTCTCAACTTTAGTACTGAGTAAGAACATGATGATGGTGGTTTTCAGAGATCCCAATCAGGCATCCAACCTGATAAACAAGCACACAATGCTGAATTGCAACGGCTCAGTTTGCATCTTGTCTCGGTGGAAACTTGAAATGGCTCAGAAAGCCGCAATTTCGCCAGCAACAGTACCGAAGCAGCGACCCATGAGGGACCAATTTTGGGTCCAGTTTGATAATATCCCCATCAAAGGTCATCCACTGATCAAAGACCGATTGGAGGTCGAGTATCCGAGCAACAAAGTGTTGAAATGGGTCCTCCCAACGCCAAAATTCCTGGCCCCTCATTGCGACTTCATCACTGCAGTTTTGGAAGTGAACTCTGAGACGAACCCCAAATTCCAGGAAGAATGGGAATTCAGTATTGGTGGCGAAGCATTCATAGTCACAGTTTCAACAAAAGACGCCCCCATCTATTTCAGGTGTAGTGAAAGAGGTCACCTAGGCACTAACACATCCTGCCCACAGTCCCCTGAACATTCGAAAGAAGAAAAGCTGAAACATAACATGATGGTGGAAGTGGAAGAAGCAAAGGGCATCTGGTTCATCAACGACCACGACTACGATGGGTGGGTCTTCGATGACACCATCCAAGATCTGGAATGGATATGGACATACAACAAATCCAACCGAACAACAAAGCAACCCGACATGTTCCCTCCTTCAGACAACAGATGACACACAGAGGGAGCCAAAAAGGTAACGGGAATACCAGGGGAAATTCACACAGACCTGGTCATCGACCCACACACAACTAGAGATGAGAAGAAACACGAGGATCTGTTGTGGCACGTGGAGACAATCAGGATCCAGACTGCGGAAACATGCCAGAACATGAATCTGGACAACAACACCCTGCTCCATGAAGCGAAACAAATCCTGGAACATCATCACCCCAAGCCAGAGATCGGTGCCGCTCTCAAACGGAACGCCTCCCCTTCTGCCAAAGAGAACCAAGAAGATAAATAAGGGAAAAAAAGAAGAGCAACCGACGAAGGAACAGGGAAAATCATCATTTCTGAACAACCTCCCATAGGCCAGACACGGACCCCTCAACAGACTCCCACATGGGAATGGAGATCTCGCGAAACACAGCGAGCCCCATCCCGTGGCTCGGGGAATACCTTCAGAAAACGAAGTACGAGAGGGAAAAGGAATTCAGCCTCAGACTGGCCTGCATGAGACATTTGGAGAAGACAAGCATGCCAACCACAGACAAGACAGTGGCAGAGATCATGTTGCGCCAGAAATCCAAACTCTAAGAGTTCAGGGCTTTCAGATACCACGAGAAGAAAAGAGAGAAAATATGTAGGAGTGGACACTGAGACAGGGTTCGACCCCCATACGTCAACACAGTCCGCGATATGGTCTCGAAGAACTGGAAATCGTCGAGAGGCAGGTACAAGAGGACAAGCAGACTCCCCAGAGACGCAACAGACAAAAAGAACGAACAACGTCGGCTCACCGAAGAGATCGCAACAATGGCAATGCAAACAAAGTGATTGTTCGATCAGAACCAGGACTACAGAAAAGAACAAAAGGGACAAATTCATCATAGTCCAGATGATCGCAGAAGGCAAGGCCCCCCACATCACCAGATCAGCAAACACGGACCGGAAGACCATCAGGGCGGTTCGTCCGCTGATCCCCGTGCGTTTCAGGAGCAAATTCAACGAGTGGCAAGTGACCACCGATGCCTCTTTCGCATTCCCCACACTTGATGACAACCGGGCCCTGGCAAGGAACATAAAGGAGATCATCTCCACAGAGTTCCCACTGGGGGTATACGGGTTTCCTCCACGAGAACTAACAAGTGGAGAAAAGACCTCAGATCCGCCGATCCTCACCCCGTTCGACCCCATCTTGGTCAAGCTCGATGAAAAGGCAAAACTCAACGAAGGCCTCACTTGGAAGGCATGGAACACGATCACAACACTCCCGTATAATGTGTTGAACCGGAGATCTAGTACAACTGATGTCATTGCGGATTCCCTAACAGATATCATCAGGACCCTCCTCTTGATCTCAAAAAGCTCACTGCAAGATGAGGCTACTCCCATAGAGGTAGACATAGGGGAGGAAGAAGACAATATGGAGGAGGAAGATAAGGAGGTGTTGGGATTGGGCGACAAGATCTTCCTAGCGGGAGACACCGAAGAGCCGCACACCACAAAGGAGAGTAGCACAGGAGAGTACGGTATTGGTTCCTCTCAAGCGAGGGACGAGAGCAGGGAATCAGACACTGAGAGCCGCAGGACTGAGGCAACAGTGGACTGAAAAACGAACCCCAAACACTAATTAAATCCTCTCCACACAAGTAAAACGCACAACAACATCCAAGTTAAGAAGACAACCAAGGAAAATAAAAAAAGAAAAAAAGAATAAAGAGGGGGACGAGGAATCAGACAATGTCGAGGCTCACAAACACTAGATATGGACAAGGTAACCCACCGAAGACCAACTGGCATGCCAAGGGCCTCCAAATACTCTCCTCGAACGTGAATGGTCTAGGGAATGTCTTAGCCGAGGAAGATAAAATCAGGGACATTCGGCTCGGTCTGATAGGAAAAGATCATCCCAAACCCGATGTGATACTACTTCAAGAGACCCACCTATCAAACCTTAACAACCACACCCGAAAACAGAAAACCGTGGAAAACACAATAGGTGGGTGCGCCTTCACCCGATGGTCTGATAAAGAGGGTCTGAGTATGAAAGGAACTACAATTCTCATACCAAGGACGTCCAAAATTCTGACTGAAGGTCAAATCTTGAACAGCGAGGGAGACACCGAGGAGGGTAGATGGTCATGGTTAGACATAAGATGGCAAGACAAAGAGCTGAGAATCCTCAACCTGTACGCCAACGCAGAACCCGAACGACTGATTTTCTTTGAGAACATCAAACCTCTTATCCCCAACCCGCAACCGGTTATGATCGCAGGGACTGAAACACGACTCTAGACCCCAACTTGGACTGGATCTCTAGGACAATATTATTTGGTCAGTATTATTTGGTCCCACAAGAGTGGGAACCTGGATACAAAATTTAATGATAAAATATGAACTCATCGATTCGCTCAGGGCGCTGCATCTGGACAAAAAAACCTTCTCCCGGATCAGAAAGAACCAAGTCAACTGGACCTCATTGTCCAGGATCGATTACTTCCTGATCTCTGAAAGCCTGCAAGGTGCAATCAAGGAAGCTGAAATACGTCCTTCGGCCTCCTTCAAAGGGCTGGACCACAAACCCATTCAACTGATGATCAATTTCAACTCACTAGTCGAAACAGGACAGGGTTTTTCAGGTTCAACAACTCCCTCCTAGCGATGGAGAGGCTGTCCATAGCGGTTAAAGAAAATTGGTCCATCCAAAAACAGTGAGAATTCACATTGACGAACAGACACAGATGGTTCATCGACAGTTACGTAGACCTAACGCGAACAGTATCAACAGAATCACAGGGCATAGCAGGGGATCGCAAAAGGAGAAGGGAAGAACTCCAATTCATCATCTCAGTCGCAGAAGTTAACCTAGCAGAGGACCCCTCCAGTGAGTTCTACAAGGATCTACTAGCTGATACCAAAGAGGAGCTAAACGAATGGAGAAGATGGGACTTGAGAGGACTGCAAATACGCGCCAGGATGACAGACTACACACTCAATGAAACCATAACTAAATTCTTCTTCTCCAGAATCAAAGTGAACGCCAGGAATGACATGATAGAGGCCCTCGAAGACCCAACCGATCAAGGGAATGTCTAAACAGCAGGTACAAAGATGGTCAGGGTAGCCAGGACATTCTACGCATATCTATACGAGTCAAAGACGCCTTCGCCCCTGACCACAACAAACGTAAAAACCTGTTAACACATGATGTCGTACCTCAACAAAATGATCTCGACAACTCAAGAGGAAGGCTTGGACAAATGCCTAATCCTGGCTGAGCTACACGTAGCCCTGACCCCTGTGGGAAATGACAAAGCTCCAAGCATCGACGACCTCTCGAAATAGTTTTGGAGCTAATTCTAACCAACTCTAGGAGAGGACCTGCTCGAGTTCTTCAACGACAACAGGCTAAAGGGAGGCCTAGGCAATGAACTAAGCACCAGTGTGGTAAAAAAGGGACACAAATAGGACTTGAAAAACTATAGACCCATATCACTACTCACCACTCCCTACAAAATCCTCGCTAAGGCCCTTGCGAACAGAATCACAAAACTAACAAACAACTACTTTCATATCGACCAAGCAGGCTTTATCCCTGACCGATACATACTAGATAACGTGATGGCACTAAATAAGGCAACGAAGAAGATCACGGAAAAACGAATGAAGACAACAATCCTGTTTTTTAACTTCGAAAAGGCCTACGATCAGGTCAATTGGGACTTCCTGCATGCCTACATGGAGAAAATGGGGGAAGGCCCCAAGTTCAGAGAATGGGTTAGAGTCCTCTATTCAGACGCAACTGGCAGAGTTCAGGTCAATAGGATTCTTTCAAAGACCTACCCAATCTCGAGATTGGTTAAACAAGGCGACCCACTAGCCCCACCCATCTTCCTCTTCATTATGGAAGCCATAGCCTCCTTCCTTCGGAAAGACCCTTCCATTGACCGCCTTGCTGAACGCAACTTCAATCCATTACACGACTTTTTCCACTGCACTAACGTTTGCCGACGACCTCACTGTCCTCATTTGTGCCAACAACTGCTCATTCCAAGCCCTCGTAAGAGCAATGGAAGCCTTCAGACTGACATCGGAAATGAAGGTCAATTGGGGCAAACCGAAGGATGGTGGCTAGCAGACGGGAACCCACCCCAACTGGCCAATACAACCACACCCATGTCATGGTCTACAGGAGATCAGGCACTAAGATTCCTTGGTATCATGATAAACAAGGACGGAGTGTGGCTAGGCATGGGACGAAACCTAGTCGCCAGGGCAATCACTCGCATGGCCCCGTGCAACAGTGCCCAGGCCTCGTTAATCGGAAGAGCACTACTAATTAACACGACAATCTTCTCCACAGTGATGTACATGGCATCCATCTGGTCCCCCAGGATGATCTCAAAACGTTAAAAAAACAGGGCCAGATGCTACTT